TTCTAGGGCATTGGCCGCAGCACTGGGTGATCCCTCAGGGCTCAAGTTGCAAGGGGGCGGGCCTGGGCGGAGGTGGAGTCTCCCGCCAATTGAAGCCTCGGCTATAAATTGAGCTCTCCGCAGGGCGAAGCCCAGATGCCTCGCCAGGCCGCCTCGCGGTTGGTGGTCGGAGAAGGCGAGGGGCCCCCGGGGGCCACGGGGCCCACGGCCACCATGCTCCGCTCCCTGCTGCTTCACTCCCTGAGGCTCTGTGCCCAGACCGCCTCGTGCCTCGTGCTCTTCCCGCGCTTCCTAGGCACGGCCTTCATGCTCTGGCTCCTCGACTTCCTGTGCATCCGCAAGCATTTCCTGGGCCGCCGCCGCCAGCCCGAACCCGAAGTGGAGCTCAATAGTGAGGGCGAGGAGGTGCCCCCCGACGACCCACCCATCTGCGTGTCCGACGACAACCGCCTGTGCACCCTGGCGTCGCTCAAGGCCGTGTGGCATGGCCAGAAGTTGGATTTCTTCAAGCAGGCACACGAGGGCGGACCAGCGCCCAACTCGGAGGTGGTCCTGCCTGAGGGCTTCCGGAGCCAGCGCATCCTAGACTATGCCCAAGGGAACCGCCCACTGGTGCTCAATTTCGGCAGCTGCACCTGACCACCGTTCATGGCGCGCATGAGCGCCTTCCAGCGTCTGGTCACCAAGTACCAGCGCGACGTCGACTTTCTCATCATCTACATTGAGGAAGCACATCCTTCCGACGGCTGGATCACCACAGACTCCCCGTACATCATTCCCCAACACCGGAGTCTGGAGGACCGGGTCAGCGCAGCAAGGGTGCTGCAGCAAGGTGCGCCAGGCTGCGCACTTGTCCTGGACACCATGGCCAATTCCAGCAGCTCGGCATATGGCGCCTACTTCGAGCGCCTCTACGTCATCCAGAGTGGTACCATCATGTACCAGGGAGGCCGTGGCCCAGATGGCTACCAGGTCTCAGAGCTGCGCACTTGGTTGGAGCGCTATGATGAGCAGTTGCACGGCACTCGGCCCCGTCGGTTGTAAGCCAACAACGGGTCAACTGACTGAACTTGGTGAGCTGGGCCTTCGGGCCTTTGAAGCCCACGTACAAGCACCCCCAAAGGAAGTCAAGCTTGGCGAGGTCCCCAGAGCAGATACAATGAGCTGCGGATCTTAGGCTGAGCCTGCCTCCCAGGGACTTCAGTGACTGTCTCTCACTTATACCTACCTGGCTTGCTTGAAATCTCCTTGGCAGCACTGATGCGGTGCTCACCACACCTTGTGTGCCCCCAGGACTTGCCCCTGCAGCACTTTTCACACCTCCCCAGAGCGCCTTTAATCAAGCGCCCAGCTTTTCAGAGCGCAGAGACCTTGGCCACGCCTCGCGCGCCCTGAGCGCAGCTGGGTTCCTGCAGCGCTCTAGGCTAGCGCTAGTTGCCTGGCACCCACCTGTCGCACGCAGGGAGCCCTGCTGCTTTGTGTTTACTTCTTGTCCCTGAGTCTGGGGGAGGGTTTCTTCGGGGATGGGGAAGGGTGGGCAGGGTGGTTTCTCCCTCCCCCCTTGTTTTAGGCGCGCACGAGCCCCACTGCTGATGACGAACTATCTCTAACTGGTCTTGACCACGAGCTGGCTCCGAACTGCAGGAGGCTCGAAACAGCGCCTAAAGCGAGGTGGGGAGAGTGCTCTGAGTTTCCGTGAGGAAATCTCCGCAAATGGGGTGGGGGTGGGGGCAGGTGATGGTCTGTTTTGAGGCCTGAAGAAGATGGCAGGAGGGGCACTGGCAAGGTTCACAGCGCCCCAGAGAGAGAGGGAAGCTAGGACTCCTTGGGGGAACAGAGTTTGGGCGGCAGAGTCTGGAGAAAGGGAGGAGGGGGACAGCCTGGGCCCGAGTGAGGTTACTCCTAGGCAAAGCTGCTCATTGAGGGACCAGGGGATGGAGGGCCCTGATTCAAAGGCCATCCAGTGAGTGTTTGGCTGGAAATATTCCCTGTACATAAACTTCTTTTAAGCTACAATAATAAAGGCTTGAAGTAAACTGCTTTCTGCTTGCCTTTGGTGCCTTTATTTTCTCTTTCCTCTGAGTAGCGACAGGAATTAAACACAAATCTCTCCCTGGCGACCCCATTGTGACCCAGAGGGATTAGGGGAGGATCCTAAACTGAAAGGGGCGCAGGAAGTGGATGAAGTGAGAAGAGGATCTGGGGCGGGCCGGGGCGCCCCTATACACTCATGCACACACCCAGGCCAGGATTTGGGCAACTGAAGAAGAGCCAGGCAGCGGAGGCCCCCCAGGGTCTTGGAACCGGGCTGGAGAGTCAAGGGGCTCCTCATTTGCGGCCGTGAGCGCGCCCGCGCTCACACTGACAGTTATGCTGTCCCTGCAGCCGCCCGTCTAACTTCTCTAAGCATCCAGCGATGTGGGGGAGGGGTGGTGGGGAAGGGCGAGGCGGGCTTTGAACCTCGCAGAGCTCCTTTCCCGCCCATGGTGAGTGCCACCGCGCACCTGGCTCCTTCCTCGCCCGCTTCCCGCACCTGCAAAACCGTCTCCCGCCAACCCCCGCCTGGCTGCTGGAGTCCGCCGGAGGCGCGACTAGCAAAGCGCGCAGTAGTGGAGCAGATCCATCTCTCCAACAGCAGCTCCCACGGCCGGGCTGGGGGTGCTGGGGGATGTGCTCCGTCCAGGACACCCCCTCCTCTTCCTCTCCAAACTGGAGTTCAACCTCACCACCCCCAAACCCCAGCCTGCTGGCCGCTGAGAAGCATTGAAGCGGAGCGAGGTGGAAGAAGGAGGGGCGGGGGGCGATTCGGGGCGAGGTGAAGGTCGGGGCTTTTGGCACAGATCCCGCCTGTGTTCGTGACCAGGTGCTGCAAGACAGTGCCCACTCTCGCTCTCTTCCTGCAGCTCTCCGAGTGAGGGAGACCCTGGGAACACGGCCCGCACCCCCTCTGTTAATGACACTTTTATCTGAAGAGAGGTGGGGACAGGAAAAGGGGCTGAAGCGAGAGTTTGAGGATGTGGCCAGCATGGGGCCAGCGGACAGTGGAACCCAGGACTACTAGGTGGCTCGGGCAAGGAGTAGTGTCGGTGCGCGCCTCGGTGGGAGTGCGCGTGCACGGGGGAAGCGTGGGTGAGTGAGGACACCGCGGGAGGGATAGGAGAGAGGCCTCGGTCCAGCCAACTCCGCGCCCAGCCCCCACGCTGCTCCTCCGTGAAAACTTTTTGGAACTGATGTCCTAAATTTGGGCGATTTTTCTTTCTTCTTTTTCCTTCTCTCTCTCTCTCTCTCTCTCTCTCTCTCTCTCTCTCTCTCCTTCTCCCTTAAAAGTATTTCAAATGAAAAATAACTTTAAGGAAAAAAATCGGCACAGATGGCATTTCAGCGTCTCCTCCCCCCACCCCACCTCAAGCACTAACCTCCCTAGAATACAACCCTAAACTCCCAAGAATACAGAGAACGCAGCAGGGACTCCGCCCGAGTCGCACAGGGCTCGCCCCGAGCTGGAGGCTCGCCGGCTGTCCCAGGTGGGTACTTGGAGACTCGCGGAAGACAGTTAGGGGCAGCTGGGTTTGCCCTAGGTCCCGCAGAGCACGATTCTGCTGCTCCGCCTCCCTGCTGGTCACTCAGGGGTACCCTCAGGGCGCGCGGAGCAACCTTTCCTCCCAGCACAGCTGCGCACACTGGGACTTCCCAGACCTCGACGCGCGCTCAGCACTGGGACCTTTGGCTCTTAAACACTCCTCACGCTGGAGGGACCCGCTCCCCCACGCCGCCGCAGAGGGGAGAGAACATCTACCTCCCCGATTTATTTCTCTTTGTTCCTTCCTCCTTCCCCTCCTTCCCCCTTCTCCTTCATCTTTTTCTTTTTCCTCTGTGCTCCTTTTCCCTGTTTAGTTTCTTTCTCTCATTTCCTTGGAAATCCTCCCTTATTATGAAAATAATGTCTGCTCACTGCGGAGAACAGAAGAATCCAGAGAAGCAATAGAACCAAGGCAAGGTAACCTCTCAATGTGTGCGCTTTCAACTCTCTTTTCCCTCAATGGTAAACAAGAGCGGATTGTCCTTTTGTCGCCTACCATTAACTTTGTACTCGCTGGGCACCCCCTCTTCCCACGCCCCGCTCTTTCCATGTCAATAAATCAGTCTTGAATGGTAACACCAGGTGGCCAAAAGAAGGGTAAGGGACAACTTCAGGGGGTGGGCACTCCACGTGTTAAGGATGTTCCCTTATTATGCAGAAAATCAGCATGTGCAGTTGTTCTCAGCTCTGCCCCTCTTTGTCCCCAAGTAAAATGGCAGGTCAAGACGCATGCATGACTTTTAAAATGTCTGTTTTGCCACATGTTGCTAAACTGCCTTCTAGAAAGTTTGATTGTTATTGTTCTCCATTTTCTCAATGCTGGCTCTCTTAAAGTGAAAAAATACAATGATAATACACAATCCATTCTCAATATTAAATGTTAAATATAAAAGAACATAGAGCAGGATTTTTCAAGTTATAAGTCAGGATGCAGCAGTGGGTCATGAGATCCATTTATTGGATCAAGTCAAGCACATTGAACAACTGAAATAGATTAAATAAAATAAAAACATCAGCCTATATCTCACCTAAGGAAGTAGTTTCCTGCAACTTTGCTTTCAGTCACATGCAGTGTGTGAGTATATGTGTGAATGTGTGTGGGTGTGTTCACGTGAGTATCCATGTAATTGGGCCTCTGAAGGAAATGTGTCTTCCCTGGGGGTCAGAGATGTTTGGAAGTGTTGGCGAATGTCTGTCACCTTTCCCTCTCATCCAGGACAGTGCCTGTGGACTGGTGGGGTGTCTGCTTCTAGATTCTGTTCCACATATTTGCAGCCATTCATGTGACATTCTCAGATGTGTTTTCCATAACTGGGATCACGCCCCCAACGCCCACCCTCTCGCACCCTTCCCTTTGCTTTCCTGGGCGATCCCATCCAGTCTGAGCAGGTCTGCGCCTGCATGCCTGCTCCTGCCTGGCACCATCCTGAATTCTGAGCCCCACTCCCCCCTTGAGGAGGAACTCAACTCTGTCCTCAAATAGTGCTGGGATGGTGGGGTGTGGGAGACAGCCATTATCCTTGCTGTTTCCATAATATCCTCCTTGTTTGTGTTTTCCAGGGTCTGGAGTGGCTTATCATGCAGTACAGACTTCAGCAGGAAGGGGGAAGAGGGACTTTAAAAGAGTCCATAGGAAAAGTCTTGAAAGACAAGGGAAGTGACCTCTGAGTGTTTGTTTACCCCAGGAGCCAGGCCTGGGGCCAGCGTCCCTTCCTCTCCCAGGAAGACATGGGAAGAAGGGCATCCTTAGTAGGGAGCACAACAAAGGCCCAGAAGCCTAAGCGTGCACATCTGGTCAAAGGGCAAGGAGTTCTCTGTGTGGTGCAAACAGGAAGGGACAATAGTGGACGAGGAGGAGGAGAGGCAGAGCCAGGACCAGCATGGGGAGAGCCCTGGGCACACCTCTGGGGTCTCTGTGAGCCTTTAGGGACAGTAGGACCTACAAACAGGAAAGGGGAGCAGGTGATGGGGGTGGGGAGGAGCCCCAGGGGCCTGAGGATGGAGACAGGGGGCACATCCACATGTCCACCACTGACCCAGAGGCACAGGTGCGCCTTCAGGGGACAAGCTGGCCTCCACCTCTGACCCAGGCACTCTCCTCTAGGAGTTAAGCTAAATAAACTGGTGAGCAAAGGAGTAGGTAGGTAGCAAGAGGCCCATGGCCCCCTGGTTATCCACCTGCAGGGAAGGAAAGACAAGAGAAGTGACCTCTGAGTGTTGGTTTATCCCAGGAGCCAGGTCTGGGGCCAGCGCCTTCTCAGGATGATCTGACTTGGCCGCGCTGAAGTTCCAGTGAGAGGAATATGATCCTCGGCCCCATTTTATGGATGAGGAAACTGAAGCTCAAAATGTTTGCAGGGAGCTGGGCCAAGATGTTTGGGGCTGAATTTTGTCCCTCCAAGTTCAGATGTTGAAGTCCTAACCTCCAGTTTCTCCAAATGAAACCTTATTTGGACATGGGCTGTAAAGAGATGATTATGTTAAATGAGGTCATCAGGGTGGGCCCTAATCCAATCTGACTAGTGTCCTTAAAAGAAGAGACTGGGATATAGACACACACCGGAAAAGCCCTATAAGGACACCCTCAGAAGGCAGCCATCAGGGAGCCAGCAAGAAGCCAGCCCCTGCCCACACCTTTGCCTCCGACCTCCAGTCTCATTGTTTCTGTTGTTTACACCCCTCGGTGGCACTTCTCTGAGGCGGCCCCAGAATTAGAAATTGTCTTTGGCCACAGGCCTCTCTGACCCCAGTGCTGGGGGTTCAGCGTGGGGTCCACGGTGCCCTTTCTGGTGGCTGAAACAGGTCAGCGTGCTCCAGAGCCCGGCTCAGGTTACCTGAGAGCCCCGCAGGGCTGTGGGTGTGGACTGTGGTGTGGTGTGTGCATGCTCTTTTTTAATATCTGCAAAGATGCACAGAGGTGCACACACACAGAGCTCTAGAAAAATCTACCCCGAGGTAGTCGCAGCCGCCGTTCCTGTGTGGGTGGGATTATGAGTGTTTTCTTGCTTCCTTCTTATTGCTTATCTGTAGCCTGTGATTTTTCTGTAGTGAACACGCATTGCTCTTATGACTGAAAAAAATACAATTGAAAACAGCAGACCTCGGGCTGTGGCCAGCAGAAGCCTGGGGGCGGAAAGGCCAGGGCCCAGGGCACAGGTCTATAGGAGATGGTGGCCCTGGGGGGGGGCCTGGGTGGAGGTGCCATGAGGACAGGCCTTGGGAAGAAGAGTGGGGGCGGGGCTGCTAAACAGAATCAGACACGCAGTGAATTTGCATTTCAGCTGAACAAAAAAATGATTTTTTAGTGTCAGTGTTTCCCAAATAGAGGTGATTTTAAAGATATACTAAAAACAGTTTTTAAATTCATGGTTTACCTGAAATTCAAATTTAACTGGATCTCGGGCGTTGTCTGTCTTACTCTAACAGCCCTGAGTGGAGGAATGGGGGGGGGGTCTACACTG